CCCCCCCCCCCCCCCCCCCCCCCCCCCCCCCCCCCCCCCCCCCCGTGGAGAGCCTATTTCAACCATGCCTAAATTATGAAATGAAAGCCGAATGCTTTGCGCCTGATCGCCCGGTATCCGCCGAAGTGAAAGCAGAACACAAAACCCTTCGAATTTTCTTGAGCAACTTTTTTCAACTGTTTTAATTGCCAAGCTATACGCCGCCCTATTAAAACATTCCCGCACGCACAGCCCGCTCAACATCCAGAAACAGAACCTCGTTTTCCGTTCTGATGAGACTTGTCATTCATCCAGTAGGAGACCTACTCATTTTGTCTCTAGTGTCTCTAAGGATGCCGCCGCCGCTGTCTGATAACTAGATAGGAACTCTTACAAACTTCCCTTGCTGACCCTCGGGTTCCCGCTCGCGCTGCTCCAGCTGTTGCCACCGCGCAGCCTGCCCCGGGCAGGCAGAAGCGCTGCTTTATGCAATTCTTCAGTTACAATCTGGGTAATAAAGGAAATCATATCAAACTAGGGATTTTTTTTTGTATTTTAAAGCGCTATTTCCTTCCCCCTCTGCAGTGCGTGAGTTTCCTTGCGCGTGGCGGAGATAGTCAGTGACCCCTTGCCGTGCTGTCCAACGAAAACTTTGCCGCTCTGTCTCACCCGTTTCTTTCTTTTTCTGGGTTAGGAAGAGGCAGTGTGACCAGCCTACTTTAAAAAGCACACCTTTATGCTTTTTTATGCAGAGTAAACACTGCAATGGAAACAAATCAGATAGGAACAGTAGTTTTCTGGATTCTTGTTATTCTTTTTGTCTTTTGTAAATTTCTTTGGTGGCCAAGTCCTGTGCTGGTCTTGCCTACAGTATGGGGATCCCATGTGTACAGGATCCCATGTGTACAGGATCCCATGTGTACAGGATCCCTGACAGTACCCACTGAAGTTAAGCCCAGAATGAATGCACTGCCCATTTTCCAACTTACAGTGCTTGATATATATATATATATATATATATTTACACAATAGTTGAAAACGATAAATTCGTTGCACATCATTTGGGAGGAATAAACCTTTTAATTAAAAAAACAAAGAAGGGAAAAGCAAGAAGATTGACATTTGTACTGTCTAAAGCCCTTGGCTTTTATTCCCATCTTTAAGAAAAGAAAACTAAAAGCCAAGCAGACTCTGGCAAGCGCCGGGAGGCTTCCCAGTGGTTTTTTTGGGCAGCTAGGATAGCACCTGGGCGGTGTCAGAATCGCCAGTTGTAACTTTTTTTCTCCTGGCGATGGGGAAGAAGTCAGGTTGGGTCTGCCCAGCTTGTCTTGAGCCTGAAACAGTGAAGCAACCCCCCACCCCACTTCCTTAAAGTGACACCCGGCAGGGTTTCAATCACAGCAACGAACGAGTTGCAACGTGTAACCCCCCTTAGCTACCGGGCCCCCAGAAGTCTCGTAAAGACCCAGAAGGCGATGCGCTTAGCAAGACCCCGGAGAGGGGGGCACTTGTTACTTGTACACTTGATCTCTGTTTAAAAAGAGGCTCTTAAATAGGTATGGTAGATGACGACCCTCCCTCACGTGCTTAAACTCCTCACCTTAGCAATACGTGAGATAACAAAGGAAACCAGCACCCAGGTTCCAGCCTGCACTCCCTTTAAACCCACCTATTTGTATTTTTCTTCACTCTCAAAAAAAAAAAAAATCGAAATACAGAGCTCTGTTTAAAAAACATATTTTACTTGTTTATTTCAGACTGCTTTTGAGGAGGAAAAACGCTTGCCCGACGGAGGCAGAGGCCCCTTCTAGGAAGGCGGTTTATTTGCCATTACTTGACCATTACCCTGGCTTAGGGCTTCTTTATTGCATTTGGCACTTGGAGCGCAGTCTTCCTGCAGCATTTCGATGTGTTTCGCCAAAAAAAAAAAAAAAAAAAAAAAAAAATCTATGTTTAGGAGAAGGTTAATAACGCTTTTCATCCCCCCACCCCACCCCATCCTAAACACTGTGGAAGGGTATGGTTCATTAACTGCAGAGGCAGGAAGGCTGGAGAGAAGGGCTCCTTTTTCAGGCTTTTACTTGTGGGGGCTGAGAAGTCGCAGGTCTGGGCGACGCTGTGCACGTGAGTGTGTGTGGAAGTGTGCGCGTCTGTGCGGGGTAGCCCAGTTCTCCGGCTTTCTGAGCAGAGGCCTCTCCCTACTACCCGGGGCCGGGCCTCCTCTGCCGACAGACATTCAACACGTAGGACGCTTACTGAATAGAAATTAACGCGTCATTCTACGCAATTTTTGCTTTCTTCTTTTTTTATAAAGTTGAAGGCACTAACTCTGTAAGCGGTTTCCCTTTAAACATCTTGTCGTTTGGGAGTTTACTTTGTTTCATTTTTGCAAGTTGGGGCCAGGTTATCGCTGCAGACGTGGCCTGGGGCAGGAAGGACAAGGATGGAGACTCCGGGGGCAAGAAGGGCAAAAGAGGGCAAAGGAGAGCTGACTTGTTGCCCTCCGCACGTCTAGCTCGGTCCCCTCTCTCCCTGCACCTCCTCCCTTTTGCCTCTGCTGGAAGCGGCCCTGAAGTGGAGAAACTTGACTTGTCACCTTCTGGCCAGTGGCTCTCAGTCCTTTTCCCGAGGTACTCAGCCCCTGCCACCCCTCATCTCACAATTGTCTCAGACAGTGGGAGTGGGCTCCGTTGAGGAGTGGGGGGGGGGGTGTGGAGCTGGGGAGGAACCTAGGGGCGGCCGGCCGAGTTCACCCAGGGAGGACCCCCGCACCTCCTGCCTCCCGCTGCTCAGCTCCTGGCTCCCAAACTTAGGCCAGAACTCTGCCCTCTCCAGCCTCAGAAGTGCTGCGTGCCTGGCCCACTGCTTCCCTCGAGCGTGGTTTGCACTGACGGTGCACACACACATGCACACGCGCGCACTTCTCTCTCTCTCTCACACGTCCGGGGTTAAGGAACACTCAAGT